AGGTCTCTTCTCACTCCAGATGAATTTTAGCAGTGATTTCTCGAGATTTATGAGGTATGTTGATGGTATTTTTATTGGCATTGCATTGAATCTGTATAAAACTTTTGGGAGAATGGCCATTTTCACAATATTTATTCTTATCCATGAGCAAGGGATGCCTTTCCATTTTCTGAGATCATCTTCAATTTCATTTTTCAGTGTATTATAATTTTCCCTGAATAGATCATTTACTTCTTTCATAAGAGTAATTCCTAAATATTTCATTTTTTTGGTTGCTAGCGTGAAGGTTGTGGCTTCTCTTATTCCTCTCTCTGATATTTTGTTGTTAGTGTATAGGAATGCTATTGATTTTTGAGTATTGATTTTGTATCCAGCCACCTTGCTGAATTTATTTATTATATCTAGGAGTCTTTCAATGGAGTTTTGGGGGTCTTTCATGTAGAGTATCGTGTCAACTACAAATAATGATAATTTAACTTCTTCTTTTCCAGCTTTACCACTTTTATTTCTCTCTCTTGTCTAATTGCTCTGGCTAGTATTTCCAGTACTATATTAAATAGGAGTAGTGATAAGGGACATCTTTGTCTTGTGCCTGATTTTAAAGTGAAGTCCTTCAATTTTTGTCCATTTAGTATGATATTGGCTGTTGGTTTATCATAGATGGCCTTTATTATATTGAGGTAAAGACCATCTATTCCAGTTTTCTGCAGGGTTCTTATCATGAATGAATGTTGGACCCTGTCAAAAGCTTTTTCTGCATCTATAGAAATGATCATGTGATTCTTACTTTTGGCTCTATTGATATGGTGTATTACATTTATTGATTTATGTATGTTGGACCATCCCTGCATGCCTGGTCATGGTGTATGATCTTCTTGATGATTTGCTGCACCCTATTTGCCAATATTTTATTGAGGATTTTTGCATCTGTGTTCATTAGGGAGATTGGTCTGTAGTTCTGTTTTTCAGTTGAGTCCTTCTCAGGTTTTAGTATAAATATAATATTTGCTTTTAGGAAGGAATTAGGAAGGATTGCTTCCCTTTCAATTTCATTGAAGAGTTTCAGGAGTGTTGGCATTAAGTCTTCTTTGTATTTCTTGTAGAACTCTGCAGTGAATCCTTCTGGGCCTGGGCTTTTCTTTAGGTAAGGACTTCATTACTTTTCAATTTCATTAATAGAAATTGGGCTATTCAGCAGTTTTACATCTTCTTGACCTAGCTTTGGTACTTCATATGCTTCTAGGAATTTGTCTATTTCCTCTTTGTTATCAAACACTTGAGAGTAGAGGTTTTCAAAATAGGTGTTGATGATCTTCTGCATTTCCACAGAATCTGTAGTGATTTTACTTTTTTCATTCCTTATTGCATGAATTTGAGCTTTATCTCCCCTTTTTAAAAGTAAGATTGGCTAGGGGCTTATCAATTTTATTTATTCTTTCAAAGAACCAACTCTTTGATTCATTGATTCTTTGAATTGTTTTCTTAGTCTCTATTACATTAATTTCTGCTCTGATTTTTATCATTTCCTCCCTTCTTTTGGCTTTGGGCTTTTCTTGTTCTTTTTCTAGATGTTTAAGGTGTAACATCAGATTGTTTGTTTGTATTCATTCTGTTTTCTGGATGTGGGAACTCAGTGCTCTAAATTTTTCTCTGAGGACTGCTTTCATTGCATTCCACAGATTCTTGTAAGTTGTATTTGTATTTTTGTTTGCTTGTATGTATTGTTTAATTTCTTCTTTAATTTCTCCTGTGATCTACTGATTGATTAAGAGTCTATTATTCAATTTCCATGTGTTTGTGGAGGTTTTTGCAGTTTCATTTATCATTAATTTCTAGTTTCTTGGCACTATGATGTGATAACACGCATGGGATAATTTCCATTGTTTTGCATTTACTTAAATATGTTCTGTGGGCTAGTATATGGTCTATTTTTAAGAATGTCCCATGTACTGCTCAGAAGAATGTATGTTCAGATGTTGTTGGATGGAACACTCTGTATATGTGTATCAAGTCCATTTGTTCACAGTTGTGATTCAGTTCTGTTATTTCTTTGCTGATTTTCTGTCTGGTTGATCTGTCTCTTGGTTTCAATAGTGTGTTAAGTTCTCCTGTTATAATTGTGTTAGTGCTTATGTGATATTTCATTTCTGTTAATACTTGCTTTGTATAGCTAGGTGCTCTGGAATTTGGTGCATATATATTTAAGATTGTTATCGCTCTTGAAAATTTCCCCTAACTAGTAGGAGGTGACCTTCTTTATCTCTTAGGTTTATTCTTGGTTTGAAGTTCACATTTTCTGCAAACAGAATAGCTACCCCCATTTTTTTTTGGGTTCCTGTTGCATGAAGTATTGTTTTCCATCCATTGCCTTTTCAACTGTGAGTATCCTTTTGGGTTAGATGGGTTTCTTGTAGACAGCATATAGTTCGATTTTGTTTCTTGATCCATTCTGCCAGTCTGTTTCTTTTAATTGGTGCATTGGGACCATTTATATTAATGGTTATAACTGTTATATATCAATTTATTGTGGACATGTTATCTTTCTGCTGTTGCATCTTTATCTTTCTGTTCTGTTTGTCTGCTTTGTTTAGTGGTTTTTTCCTAAATGTATCTAGGGTGTATTTCAGAATTCTTTGCAGGGTTGGCTTGGTGATCATGAAGTTCTTCAGCTGTTCTTTGTCATGGAAGTATCTTATTTCTCCATGGATTTTTGAAGGACAGTTTTTCAGGGTACCTCAGTCTAGGTTGGAAATCATTTTCTTTTAGGATCTGAAATGCTTTACTCCGTGCTCTTCTTGATTTTATTGTTTCTGCTGAGAAGTCTGCTGTGATTCTGATAGGTTTTCCTTTATAGATGATCTGTCTTTTCTCTCTTATAGCTTTTAAAATATTATATTCTTTTGTTCAATTTCTGGGATGGCGATTATTATATATCTGGGTGTAGTTTTATTTTGGTTATGACTATTTGGAGTTCTATATGCTTCATTGATCTTGATATCGGTTTCCAATCTCATGTTTTGGAAATTTTCAGCTCTTACTTCTCTAAATATCCTCTTGACATCCTTTATGTTGTCCCCTTCTTTTTCATTTTTCCCTATCAACCTTATGTTGTTTCTGTTTGCGTCATCTTGCAGGTGTTGAATTGCTATTTCCTGATTTCTTGTTATTTTTAAAAGATCTTTCCTTTCCTGTTACCTGGCTGCAATCTTGTCTTTGAGGTTTGAAATTCTATCTTCCCATTCATTGAGGTGGTTTTTACAACTTTTAAGGGAATTTTTGATTTCCTATATATCTCTTTGCATCTGCTTTATATATTCTGTCTGTTTCTTATATTGCTCATCCAGGGATTCTTTTTGTTTAGTTTCTCCAATTTTTTAACTGTGTCTTCTTTAGATATGCTCAGCATCTCCTTCATTTCTTTTATCATTTCCTCTTTTACCTGAGAGATTATTTCAATTTTGAATTCCTTTAAGGCTTCCCAGAGTTGCTTCTTTATTTAGGTTACTATTATTTCAAGTATTTCAGGTATGTGGCCTGTATTTTCTTCTATGTACATGGCTTTCTTGGGATGGGCTGGATGTTTGAGATTGCATTTTTGTCTTTTGTTTTGTCATTTTCCTATATTTTCAAGCTTCAAGTGTTGTTCGAAGCTTCCCCTGGGCGTGTTGGAAAGTGACTCATGTCCTGGACTCCTGGGACTCCTCTGGTAGTGTAGCTCCCTCCTTGGGCAGCGAAGCCCCTGGATTAAGAGAAGATTGCCAGACTCCTCTCAGGTAGACCTAAAGCCTCCTCAAGCTATACAGCTGCCCTCTGTGGCAGCAGAGCTTCCCCCCTCAGCAGTGCTGCTCCTTCCTCCAGGTGGTGGCTGGAGCTCTTCAGGCCAAAAGAAGGTTGTAGGTAAGATAGGAGCAGTTTCCCACAGCTTGGCCCAGTTCCCTCCTTTAGGTGGGGCAGCTGCTATGTGTCCTCCGGGTGAAAGATGGTGGTCAGCAAGGCTGTAACGGGGTCCCTCGGCTCGGCCCCCCTCACTGTTTCAGGCAGGAAGCTGCAGCACATCCACCAGGCGAGAGACCAAGGAATGACTTTCAACACAGTCCTGAATGCGTGTTGAAACCTTGTCTTAAAATCCTGTGGGTTTACCCTCGGCCTCTGCCCCTCCCGCTGCAGTGTGGGCTCTGATGATCCCAGCCATCAGGGCATGGGCAGCTCTCCTGCACTGTGTGCATAAACATGGGCCCAAAGGGCAGATCTGATAGCGAAGGTTACACACACACTCCCGAACATACCAAAGGGGTGATAAGCACTGAATTACAACTCCTGAGGCCCAGGGTCCTCTGGGGTGAAGGGGTAGGGAGCCGTTGCTCCTGCCAGACAGTGAGGCAGCAGGCCTGGGGTGAATTAGCAATACCACAGTGGGGTAGAGAGCAGTTAGAAAGAAGCCTTTGGGTCGGGCTCTGCTATGGGGAGAGTTGAGGGGAAGGAAGGGTAAATTGTTCCCATGGATCCTACTGGCCGTGGGGTGATGGGAAGTGGGATCCTTGGAGGAGAGAACAGGCCAGGAGAGCTGCCCATGCCTTGATGACCCAAGATCATAGGAGAGTTCACACTGTAGCAGGAGGGAGTAGATGGTGTGATTAAACCTTCAGGGCTTGTAAGTCAAGGTTTCAACACATATTCAGGAGTGTCTGTTGAATAATCACCTTTTGAAAAACCATGAAACAGTCTTTTGTTGGTTTTGGCCTTAGCTTCTCTTTTTTGTTTCTTTGATTTGTTTGAGACAGGTTCTCACTGTGTAGCGTAGGATGGCCTGGAACTCTCCCAGATCCTCCTGCTTCAGCCTCCCAAGTGCTGGGTTTACAGACATGTGCCACCATGCCTGGATGGCCTTAGCTTTTAAATCATTCATTTCTCTATTTTTTTTTCTTCTACCTCTGGTCTTCATAATAAGTTTAGACGATCTCAGGATTTTGCTTTTATTAAAGTTAATTTTTGTGATGCAGGTCGTGGTGACAGTTTCACCCTTGTGTACAGATCTCCAGAGTGATCAGGATGTGCCTGGTGATGTGGGCAGCTTTTTTGCTTACCAGTAATGCCTCAGCACAGTGGTTAGGCTGACTACTGACTGACCAGCCCTGAAACCCTCTGCTTGGTGAGTAAACCCATGGGACTCAGAGGCGTTCCTTCCTGGTCTTGGGGGACAGTGGTGGTGGTGGCTGGGCCTGCCTGGCAAGGCTCTCCACAGATGTGTGTAGGACCTGTCACTCAGGGTTGCCCTGATCACTGTTCTGTGAGACCAGGAGCTGTCCCTGATCCCCAGGGCTCAGGCAGGGAGGGGACAGGGCAGACCAGAAGTGGCAACAGGGCTTGACAGGTGCCCAGGGGAGGCTGGGCTGTGACTTCAGAGCCACCTTCATCCCGTCCTCTGCCTCCTCTGCCTCCTCTACCAGGACTGCCGCCCGCCCTTGCCCACCTCCCTGTACACCCACCCCCCACTCCCTGACCAGGCCCCTGGGTTGGTCATTGGTGTGTTCATCCTAGCAGGGGGCGGGCATCATTTGTCAGAGACAGAGAGGGATAAGGGTGGGGTTCGCACCTTAATGCCCCTTGTTAACTTTGCTCACAGCCCCCGAGTTTGGTTTCTTGGTGTTAGTTAATGTCTGTTCCCCCCCCCCCATTTATGCTCCACCCTTCCTTCCCTGCTGTGTTATCCAAGACACCAACCTTTGTGGACAGACCCCACTGGGTTGCCTGGCAGGGTCTTCTCATTGGGTCTGTCAGAGGCGAGGCCCTGTGGGAGGTCTGTGTTGGAAGCATCCTGAGTGCAGAGTTGCTGACCGCACTAAGACCTGCCTTCACTGACCAGTGAGCCGGGCTGGGTCTGGTTTATCATGGTGTCAAGTCTGGTTTTGCAAGCTGGCCCAGGGAGAAGTCCTCCTTGCTTAATGTGCTCTCCAGCAGATACAGCCTGTCGTCCTGGGGTTCTGCTACTAGTTGTGGCAAAGGTGCTGCCCCCACGGAGGTGGTTTGCTTATAAAATGGATGTGGTCATGGGCAAACATTGCAGCAGTGAATACTTCCATGCAAGAAGTCATGTAATCCATTCGAGATCTGCCGTGAGGTTGGCACTTGGGTGATCCATATTCCACAGGTGGGACCAGGGGACCAGAGCAAGAAGAAAGGGGCCCAGGCTGTGACCACTGTTGCCTCCATCTGAGATGGAAACCAGGCCTGACATTTCTTCTGTCACCCTGACAGCCAGAGGGAGGTGATTTGAGTGACGGCTGTCCTGCCCTCTCCTCACACACCCTGGCAGTGGCCCGGGTGACTGTTCCAGGTCTTTCCCACTCCTCCCTGGCTGCCCTGGCAGCTGCCCAGGCTGCAGCCCTGATGGGAGCCTCAGTGGGGCTGACAGTGGTGCAGATGTCTTTGGGGAGTGGCACCTGTCAGGGCAAAAACCCGGGAGGTAGTGACCCACAGTGTCATCCTTGAAGTCCCAGGCACCAGAGGGCCAGAGTCAGAGCTGCCACCCCTCTGGACACTTTCTGAAAGAGGGGGCAGCTGTGACCAGCTTTGCCATTGCTGGGGAAAGGCAGGTGCTGTGGATCAAGCAGCTGCTTCTCTTGGCTATCACCTTGACATAGGGTGTGCTGGAGCCTTACAGCCACGCTGGGAGATGTGTGCCTTGCCTGTGGCAGGCTTGAAACATGGACCTGTCCCAGAGTACTACACTCTGCTGCCACTGCAAGGAACCAGCCCTGCCCTGCTCCCTCTGCTGCTGCTGTGCAGGTCCTCAGAGGGTGCGCCCCATCCTAGAGTCTCTTTATTTTCTTTTCTTCTTTTATAGGCTGGACCCTCACATTTCTGGAGAACCAGGAGAGGATCCCAGGAGTGACACCAAGAGCAGCAGGGCAGTGAGAACCAAGAGCAGAAAACACCTGTGGGGGCCCTGGTAGGTCTGCAAAGACTGCAAGAAGCTGCTGAAAGAATTCTGGAAAGCTGAGCCGGGTGTGGTGGTGCACACCTGTGATCCCAGCCCTTGGGAGGCTGAGGCAGGAGAAACACTATGAGTTTGAGGCCAGAGTGGGCTTCACAGTGAGTTCAAGGGCACCCTGAACTATAGAGTGAGATCCTACCTCAAAAAAACAACACAACACAAATTAGCAGCTGCCAAGGGGTAAGGAGCGCTGGCTGCTGAGGAGCTGATGGGTGACAGGGCGCTGTGACCCTCAGAGTTGTGGCTCTGAGGGGCACAGTGCTCAGGAGCAAGACCGAGTAGTCTGAGAACGGAGCTGGTCACACCAGGAGAGTGGCTTCTGGTGACCTGATCTTCTTCTCAGAGACTGGCTCCACCCTGGCAGCAACAGGGACAGAGCCCTCCCTCCAGAGGCCCCCAAGCAGGAGAACAGATGTGCAATTTCCATTCTGCCTGAGGCCAGGAATCTGCAGAGCTGGTGACCTGGCCTGCAGCCCTCATTGTCTTTGGAACTTGGGCCCTGTTTTGAGTTGAAGTGTGGTACAGAGAAAGCATGCATTGGTCCCCGAGTCCTGTAACCCAGGATTTGGTTCTGTGTACGCTGAGGGCCTCCTCCAGAGGTGGGCAGGGTTCTCCCAGCATCCGACACATGCCCAGCCCCCCTTCCGGTCTTACCATCCCCTTCTGCCTGCCAGGGACCTCCACCTCAGGCCTCGATCACCACTGTCGTCTGCCTGTTCCTTGACTTCATAGCTCTGGAATCCCTCAGCATGCTGCGCTCTATGGGATTTCTCTTGTTCCTTTCCAGATGTCCAGGATTTCTTGTCTGTGTCTCACTGTCTTTGGGCAGTTCCAGGGGGCAGCAGAGGCCTAGGAAACTTGGCCAGAGCACCAGGGTAACATTTCCAGGCCCAAACAGCCCTGGTGCCTTCCAGGCATCTCTGGACTTGAGTCCAGAACCAGGGTGCATGCCCTTGGTTCAGCAATGTATTTTGAACGTGCAGCAAACAAAAACTCATGAGCACGACATAGTTCAGTGCAAATGAACAGCATTTGAAAGAGACAAGAAGAAAGGCTCTGTATTATTAGACGATCCTGCCGTCCCTGTCCCCCAGATTCCTGGGGTGTCCCCAGTGCAGGTGTCCCCCAGTGGGTGGCCATATAGACCTGAGCTGTGCCTTGGGCAGCCCTGCTCCTGTCTGTCCATGTGGCTCTGTAACTTTGGGTGCTGTTTCTGGTACCCAAGGTGGAGTTTCGGTTCTCACCATCAAGGGGATAAAGTCTAAAAGGTTCACGGTAGCCTGTGGTGGTGGTGCATGCCAGTGATGGCAGAGGCCTGGGAGGCTGAGGCAGGAGGACTGCAAATTCCAGCCTAACTTGGGCAATTTAGAGACCTGGTCTCAAAAATCAAACCTAGAGTTTTGGGAAAGTGGGGGAGCAGTGAGCAGCAGGGAAAGAACCTCTCCAAGTGTTGGTGTCCAGACCCTTGAATACAGCAAAGGAGGAAGAGCGATGACCGGAGCCGCGGGAGGCAGGAGACCAAACTCGAGCAGGATCAGCTCTCAAACTTTATTGCGTACAGCAAACCGGACCTAACAAGGTCCGCCACCCTCAACGTTGGTTCCTCTTCTGCCCGTTGGGGGCAGGAACAACCTCTTATAAGGGGAAGCAGTATCCAATCACAGAGAAGCGCGTCTAACAAGCGGATAGGCTAGCGTCACGGGTAACTGGGCAGACATGACAATTTGGCGGGCTTGTTCAGGCCGGGAAGAACCCGGAAGCAGGAAATGGGCGCCATCATAGGCGGCTTCCCACATCTCCCCCTTTTTTATTTATTAAAATAGGATGGTCTGTGGGTCCCTCCAAGATGTCTATGACCTTGTTGCTGTTAGACACCTAGGAGTGGGCCTACCTTGTAGGCCGAGGCATGAGAGAATGTAGAGGTCTATACCCTGCTGTGCATTACCCTGTTTTGTACATATCCTTGCGCCAGGACCATGCTCAAGGTGAGTGGTTCATTTTTTCGCAGGGCCAGGCTTTTGTGAACCGAACCTGGATGCATATAGACATTCATTCCTGCCTTCCCCCCAACCTTTGGGGCGGACGGCACTGCAGTACCCTTGGTCTCGCATCTCAATGCCAATAATTTGACTCTGGGAGGGACCCCTGGCCTTATAGGCCATGTATATCTGAGTGGAGCCTGTCTTAGGTTGACCGGGAGGGCTTTTCCCGTCTTACCCGTCATTGGCTTGCCCACTCAGCTCTTATAGCTGATGTTCTGCAATGTGAAGGAGATATGCGGCGGCCTGCTGGCCTGCTGGGCCACCTGCTGCCATTTGCATGGCTGCCATAGCTGTGACCTTGACCTGTTGCTGGGTTTGCATAAGGCGGTCTAACAAGCATTTGATAACCACAAGCCCTACTAGGATAGCCATGGCAATTAGGATCCAAAAAGAGGTAATCAAGGACTGTTTGATTGATGGTGTAAACCCTGGGTGAGGCGGACGAGGCCGCTGAAAAAGGTGCCAATGTGGGCGGGTGGTGCCAAGGACCCCAAAGATATTGTGGTGGTTCTGTGGAATCTGAGCATATCACAGGGGTGATTAATAGGAACCCACAGAATAGAAAAAACTCCAAACCAGACATTTTAGTTTGTAGATGGTCTCGGGCGCTGAGCGTCGGTCCCAGAAGGGTCGAGTTGACTTGTGTCCGCGGGCTTATCCTCCTGTGCTTTATCAGGAACTGGTGGGGAGTTTACTGCTCGCGTCAATCTTTCCGGGACCCACAGTGGCTCGCGACCTGGTTCCTGTGGGAAAACACAAACCGCACCTCGGGTCCAGCTAACCACTGGATCCGGGCCCATCCATTGTCCTGTAAGGACATCTTTCCATCTAACCAGCCCTTTGTCGGTTGGGGACGGATTGCTATGTTCCATGGCAGGGGAATGATTATGGTAAAGAGTGCCAATGATATTCTTCCTTTGGGCGTTAGGCCATGGCCTATTCCCTCCTTTTGTTTTTGTAAGACACCCTTGAGTGTCCGATGGGATCGCTCAATGATGCCTTGTCCTTGGGGGTTGTAAGGAATGCCATGTTTAAGAGTGACCTCCATTTGTTGACAAAATGTCATAAAAATTTTGCTGGTATAGGCAGGACCATTGTCTGTTTTTAGTATATTGGGCTTTCCCCAAGCAGCCCAGGCTGCCAGGCAATGATTAATAGCATGGGTGGCCCTTTCTCCAGGTTCTGCCGAAGCAAACATAACCTGAGAAGCGGTGTCAACCGAAACATGTACATATTTTTCCGAATTCTGGGATGTGTGTTTGCCAAATATGATTGGGGCGCAGTCCTCTCGGGTTAACACCAATAGATTGTTGAGGTGAAGAGATCACACAGACCTGCCAATGCCTCTAAAAGCGCCATGGTAAATGGTGCATTGGGCCCATAAGCTGAAACTGCGTCCTTGATAGCTTTAAGTTGTTTAATTTCTAAGGGCTCATAATATCCTCCTCCTCCCCTGCCTCCTACTTGTACCGGGAATGCATGGAGACCGGAACACTCAAAGGGAAGCCGCGACCATACCCTCTGGTGGAAGGAACGTCCTCCTCCCTCCCCAGATGGGGGCGCAGAAGGCAACCCAGGAAGTAGCTCTCCCTCTAACCAGGGCGGTGCCATAGTTTGTGGGCGCCCTCTGGCGGCCACGGGTGGAGGTGGCAGCCCAGGGAGCAACTCCTCTTCCGGCCACGGCGGTGCAGTAGGGCCTGGCACCCTGAAGGGGGCGACCATGGGTCGCGAGCTTCGGAGCCCTTGTGTTTCTCTGGAGGCCCAAAGTCAGGTGTGACTTCGGGCTCCTCCGAGCACTCGGATCAAGCTTTGTCAAGAGCCTGTCGGGCTGAGCAAAGCCCGGGGGTTTGTTCGTCCGTCAGACAAGCCCTAATCAGTTCCCACAGGGGTAAAACCATGGGATCCAAGCGTCCCTCTTCTCGGGCACATCTAAGATCCCCTCCTAACTTCTCCCATGACGGGAGGGTTAGAGAGCCCATGGGCCAAAACCAGGGGGCAATTTCATTAACACGATCCAGAAATCTCGAAAGGGTGACCCGGTTTATGTAGATGCCTCGGGTCCGCAGCAGGACTCTTAGGGAGTCAGCGAGGGGTTTGCGAGCAGCGTTGCCCACAATGGCGAAACGAAAGTGAAACAAATGCAAAGAAAAAAAAAAAAAAGACCGGCGTCCACCCGTGTGGCGCTCAAAATCTGTTAGGTGCGTCCACCCAACCCAGGCGATCCAGTACTCACCTGTCCCGGGAACCGCTGTATCTCACGTAGCTGATCAGGGTGAAGAGAAGAGGCGCTCAAGGCCTTCCATTGTTATTGGGCCAGGTCCTCCGTCGTACCGCAGGCGACAGCAATCGCACCTCCCGGCCGAAGAGGCACGTCGCTGAGTCTTTTACCTTTTTCCCCGTACGGGCCACCAGATGACCGGAGCCGCGGGAGACAGGAGACCAAACTCGAGCAGGATCAGCTCTCAAACTTTATTGCGTACAGCGAACCGGACCTAACAAGGTCCGCCACCCTCAACGTTGGTTCCTCTTCTGCCCGTTGGGGGCAGGAACAACCTCTTATAAGGGGAAGCAGTATCCAATCACAGAGAAGCACGTCTAACAAGCGGATAGGCTAGCGTCACGGGTAACTGGGCAGACCTGACAATTTGGCGGGCTTGTTCAGGCCGGGAAGAACCCGGAAGCAGGAAATGGGCGCCATCATAGGCGGCTTCCCACAGAGCAGGAGGAGAGAGGGGTCCCCTGGACACAGGAAGGGTCTCAACTGAGACTTGAAGCTCAGGGAGGGAGAGAATCCAGCAATCCAGCAAAAATAAGAACACCATATACAATATAGCAAATAAGGGGATTTCTTTGTACCATCTTTTTGAAGGCAAATATTTTTACTACTGTTTTGCTTTATTCTTATTAATGGTACTGTTCTATTCAATATTCTGTTTTGATAAGTTTTATAATGTTGTGTACTTCATTTTATTTTGCTATACGTGATTGAAACAACAAGTATTGTGAAGATAACAAGATATACTGTGGTACATATTGCTGTTATCCCAGTAGCCTGCTGTAAAGTCCTGTATCAGTTTCACTACACGGTCTCAATTGGCTTTGCTCTGTCTTGTTCTGTTGTGTTTTACTACCTTCAAAATAATAAATAAATAAAAACTTTCAAAGGATTGCATATTTAAGAAGAAGATCGACTACTTTAGATCACCTGTTACAATTTAGGATCCCTGAAACATTCCTAAATTTATATTAACTATTGTTTTGTGGCCAAAGCATTGATTGGAACCTGTGTAGCCGTTACCTGAAAGAGGAAAAGGTAAGAACCTCTGCATGTCTACTGTAAAGGGAAGTAACTGCTCACTGCTTTAGCATTATACCAGTTTTGTGTTAGCTGTGAAAAATCATTCCTGGCTTAGTGAGCAGCTGGACTGAGATCCTGACATCACTGTTCACTCACGTCACTCTGCTGTGCTGGTCCAGTGTCCTGTGGTGTCCTTGAAGTGTCATTGCCTCCTGGCCCTTCCTGCCAATACAGAGGGCAAAGGGATGCAAATCGGGGTGAGATAAGCTTTCTGACTATTGCATAGTCCAGGCACCTGAGAGTCCAAGGTCCCCTGCAGGCTTTTGCTCTCTTTCAGTTCTCTGGAGCTGGGCTGGGGTTGGAGCAGGCGTCTCCAGGCAGAGCAGGACCCTCCTCCCTCACTGGGGCAGTGCCCGGATTCATATTTTCAGTTGTCATTGCCCAAGAGTTATCTCTGCTTGTCGTCATCAATGGCGTAAACGGAATTGATATAGTTCAGTACCAGAAACTTACTGGAGCTTAAATAAAGTTTTCTTTGTCTTTCCGTAAACTTTCCCTAATGTCTTTGCATCTTAAGGGGTCCCCTTTTAGTGAGGGATTGTTGGTGGCCTTAGGAGTTGTAGGACATTTCACATTTAAGTGGAGCTGTCCTTCAGTGGTCAGGGTAACTTTGGATGCCTTCTTTTGGCACTTTGATTGGGTTCTTTATTTTCTGATAAGGGAGCTATGTCCAGAGGGCAGGGCATACCCTGCCCGGGCTGCTCTGGAGGCTTTTACTTTGGATGTGAGGAGCACAGAGGGGCTGCTCTGATGACCTGAGGGCCCACTGGGGACGCAGTATAAGAGTCTCTGCAGAGGCTCTGCCTCCTCTCTGCTTTCCTGGGATCCACCTGGGTCCCCAGCATTGGAGCCAGAAGGACGGCGGGGGCCCTGAGAACAGCTGGGGACCAGTGCCAACTCCAAGGGTAGGGTGGAAGTTGGTTAGGGCTCATGAGGCTCTGAACTCTGCTAGCTGCGTGATTCTGAGAAGTCACAGCCTTCCCAAGCTGGGAGCAAAGAGAAGCAGGTAAGCTGGCTTTGAAAAACAACAGTGTGCCAACAGAAGGAAAGAAGCCAGCTGGTGGGGGGGGGGCAGGGAAGAGGATGGGGAAAAGGTATGGTAGGGACCAGGGGAGCAGGCAGCTTGAATGATCTTGTTCTGGGAGGGCCCAGCACAGCTGGCGATGTCCAAATCCTATTCATGTGCCTTAACAACATTTCCATAGCATTTGTTGGGACCAGGCCCCATTCTAGTAACACATAGTGACTACAAATACAGATTCATGTCCACCTCATTACCAGCTTTTCAGAGGGAAAGTGAACCGATGGTGACTGTGCAGATGAGTCAACCTAGGTGGGGAAGGTCACGCTGAGAATCCTATCCTAGAGGGCCGCCCTGAATGCTCTCTAGTGTTTTTCCTTCTGATGACCCCAGGCGGGCTTCTCCTCCTTCCACAGAGGGTGGTTTGGGGATCTTTTCTCTAGCCAGGGCTCTTTATCTTCTCCATGTGTCTGCAGGTGCAGGGTCATGTCCTGGGCTCAGAGCATGGAGGAACCTGGGCAAAGACCTCACAGAGGCGAATGCTTCCAGGTGATACTGGGTATAGTCGTGGGGTGCCCTGCAGCCCTCCCACAGGAGCTAACACATCCCCACTGTGGGGGCTGCTGTCCTGAGCTCACAGATGGTGTGTGCGAAAGCAGAGATGGAGGGAGGGTTCCACCACAGGGATCCAGGTGTACAGGGAAGAGGGGCCAGGTCTCCCGGAAGACCTGGGCTGCACTGTGGGTGCAGTGCGGTGATGGTGGAAGGCAGCTCCTTTTGTTGGCAATCCAGATGGCTCCCTCACACCACTGCCTTCCCTGAAGGGGTGATAGGAGATGGGTTTGGCTCTTTTCAGGGGTCAGGATTGTTGTGGACCCACAGCCTGATAGAACTCTGAGCCCACAAGAATGCTATGCTCTTGCAGGGAGCTGACTGCAGCCTGAGATCAGCTCTTGCCCCTGAGGCACTGACGCCCTGCCTGGATCTGCCTCCTGCCTCCTCCTGCCTGGGGTCTGGGCCTACCCCAGGGTTTCTCTCCTGGTGTCTGGGCCATGGAGGATTCCTGTAGCTGTGGCCTGCTCTGACAACTCTTTTTCCTGCTTCTCCTTGTCCAGCTCCATAACTGGGCATCCACAGGTGCATGGGTCCACGTCTCTCTCCTGTGAGGGTGGCAACACTTGGTTGGGTTTGGATGTGATTTGTGGAATCTCTGGCTCTAAAATGACCACATTTCTCCATTATTAATTTTAATTAATAATTAAGATGGATCATATGCTAAAGCACATAATAAGAGCTTAGGAATTTTTAAAAGCATAGGATCTTGACAGTTGTCCAAAGATCAGCTTTTCTGTATTTAAGAAGCAGAGCACCAATTAAGTATGAACATTTCCCCTTACCTTTATTTCTCCGCTTGTTGGGTTGTAAACATCCATCCATTCTGTTCCCCAGATATTAATGGAGTATTGTCACTGTTAGGTGTAAACACATATTTGTTAGATAAACAAATCAGAAGGGACTTCCAGGAGAACATGGCGGACAGGTAACAGCAACTACCGGAGGCTCTCTGAAAGACTCGGCTCAGAAGCCAGGAATGGTGCAGACTAAGGAGACATAAGCAGGTGGAGATATGCTCTGCTGACTCAGGAACAAACTGGGCTGAGAGAAACCAACTTGGAATGCAGTCCTGGTGCTAAAACAGGAACAGAAAAGCCTCGGTGTGGAGGCTGGACCCCGCGCCATTGGAAGCCGCGATTTGGGTTTCCTGCCGCACGGCGGCTGGCTGCCTCTACAGCGACTCGGCAAGGAGAGAGACACGTGAAAGCTCTGAGAATGGGAATCTGCGAACGGAGTTGAAAACAGGACGGGCAGGGAGGCGTGCACTGACTTGTGGTGAGGTGAGTGAGAGAAACTGACACTCTACCACAGTTTGACTCCAGCGGAGGACTTTCTGGGCCTGAGCAGTCCTGCGGGAGCAGGGCATGGTGGCGACTCCAGCCACACATCCCCCTCTCGGGTGGGATTGGTGAAAAGTGCCTGGCCTGTGTGACGCTGCCGGCGGACCCGGTAGGCTGTCCCAACCCAGATCCCAGAGCCTGACGGTGGCCGGGAGGGGCGACGTGTAGGCTGCCTGGTTCGTAACTCCCTGGTGCGCAGTGGTGAGTGGGAACACCTAACCGGCGCAATTTGATCAGGCTGTGGCTGACTGGGAGAGAAGCTGGGCCTCTTATATAAGCTTGCATATATAAGGAACAGAGAATATGGGAAGAGGTAGCAACAAGAAAGGCTCCTCGGCCCCCAATTCTGAGAAACAGGCAATAGCGGACACCGCACCAATAGACATAAAGCGCCATATAGAGAGCCTCATAGACCAATTTAGGAATGAAGTTATCAACGACCTGAAGCTAGAAGTATGCAGAATAGTTAGAGAAATGCTAAGCACCACCCAAGAAAAAACAGATGGTGGAATGGAAGAACAGAAAAAGAGGGGAGAATTGTTCGATGGAGAAAACAGAGAAAGCATAGAATATGTGAAGCAGGTTCAAAGGGACTACCAAGATACTAAGAAGTCTGTTGAAGACTGGCATAACAGCTTGAAAGAAACTAAGGACAGACTATCTGAACTGGAGGGCAGACTTGTAATATGGGAGAATGAAATGAAAAACTTCTTAAAAATAACAAAGAAACAAACAGCAATAATACAAAGACAAGAAGATGATAAGAGGATCCATAACTTAAGGATTAAGAACATAAAAGAAGAAGTAGGGACACAAACAAGTGAACTGCAAAAGCTACTCACAGAAATAATCCAGGAGAATTTTCCTAATTTAGCAAAAGATAAAGATACTCAGATGTATGAGGCATAGAGGACCCCAGCTACCTACAACCCAAACAGAGCAACACCCAGGCATATAATAATAAAAATTCCAGAAATTCAATACAAGAACAGAATATTAAAAGCTGTCAGAGACAAGAAACAGACCACTTACAAGGGAACACCCATCAGAATTACACCAGATTTCTCTGCACAAACCATCAAATCATGAAGAGCGTGGGGGGAAATAATTCAAGTTTTGAAAGATAATAATCTCCAGCCAAGATTGAGGTATCCTGCACAACTGTCCCTGGAAATTGATGGAAAAACAAGGTGCTTCCAGGATAAAGAGGAACTGGGGGAATTTGCAGCCACCAATTCAACTCTACAGAGAGTATTGCAGGATATTCTAAAAAAAGAAAAATACAAAGAATCCAGAAATAGTGGCGGGGAGGCCACAACGAATGGAGCAGAGAACAAAATGAAGAAGACAAACTGACAGCTACTGACAGAAAAAGAGCTCAACAGAAATGAGGCAGAGAAGATGGGATGATAGGAACAGCTATTTTAGAGAAAATGACATCTTAATAGGTAATACTGATTTAGTATCATCTTGTTTTGAAGTCTCATCTAGCTTTTGTCCTTCTGTCTCCAATGGTCTAAATAGGTTGTATCTTATTGGATTTTATTATGTATGATAGTATAAGCAAAAACCTTTTAAAGACAAGGAGATTATACAGAAACCATTGTTCATTTTCTGTTAGTTGATTCTAAATACTCTGTATGCTGTCATTCTCTTAAATGGTTTTACATTGTTTTGATATACTTAATGCTACAGTATACAAAGTTGTACTCAAGGATTTCAAGGAAAGAGACAATATGGTAACTACTTTTAGGTTAGGATTATCTGGTGGTGAAACACTATTCTGCTTAAATGGTTATGTTTTGTTCTGCACTGTTTCATTGTTATGCCCTCTTTTATCTCAATCTCCACTCCATTATTTACTTTTTTATCTTTATCCTTTTAATTAAAGGAAAAAAATAGCAGGATATATTATAGTAACCCACTTTGACTTTCCATTACCTCGATTTAAAGCCCTGTATTACTCTCACCATCTGGTTTTAAACTAATGTTCCCCTATTCTGTTTTGCTGGATAGTATCAGGTTTGAAAGTTTAGGCATCAGCTGTGAAGATAATGAGATTTATTATAACACCCATTCTCACTGACTTTTATCTACTTTTGAAGACCTACAATGTCTCCAATGTCTTGGTTTTGTCGGTTTTATTCTTTACTGTTTTGTTCAATTGTATTATAACTAACGATATAGGCAATTCTATTAGAGATAGCGGGAGGCATTATCACCTTGTATTAAGTTTTTACATTATCTATTATGTCCACCCTTTTGACTTGACTGTTTCTGTTATGTTATGTCACATTTGGTTTTACTCTCTTCCAAAAAAAGTAATAAGAACTGTGGGAGCAATGAAACCCAAAATGTGTAATAGTCATGGTACAAAGAGAGAGGAAAAGAAAGTGCTCTAAACTATATAACTGCATGTATATTTAAGTGTATAAGATAGAAAATGATATCACAGAGTTTTATTTGATCATTGAACAGAACTGTTTGCAGTATCATTGTTGGAATGTCCACTCTACAAGCTTTAATTTTGTGACTTGAACAATTATTTCTAAGATGGCAATATGTAATCCATTAACTAGTGATTTCCTACTGTTCATTTTTTTTCTGTAAATCTGTATAACTTGTACCCTTTCTCTGCTTTTTTTCTTTTCTCCTTAAATAAAATTTAAAAAAAATTAAAAAAAAAACAAATCAGAAGGACTGTCCATTATTATAAACCTGACGTCCTAGAAGGAGACGGTAAACACGAATTACAGCACACAGACAGGGTGGAGGGAGATGGACGGGCCTGTGCTGTGAGGGGAGTGGGAGATGGGCCTGTGCGGCAGCAGCGTGCTTGATGAGGCCACAGAGTAGCCAGGGTGCAGCCCTGGAGAGGAGAGCTGGGCCTGAGCACCTGCCGGGGAGGACAGTTCCTCAGTGCCTGGGAGAAGCACAGGCAAGTGTTGGCTGGGCAGAGCTAGCCAGGGGTGCAGAAGAGTACAAGGGGGAGAGAGGGGCCCACTCTGTTGGGATAAGGGCTCCTTGGGGAAGTTGGGGAGGCACAGGAGGGCTTTGAGCAGAGTAGGGACAGGCTTAGCCTGTTTATTAAAAGCATCACAGAGGTAGAAGTTGGGAGAGGACAGAAGGAGATTCAGTCCTCTGTTTTACCCAGAGTAGAGTGAGGGTGCTGGGCTCCAGGTCAGAAGCACAGAGGGTGAGAATTAGCACTTCCAGTGCCCATGGCTGCTTGTCCCTGGAAAGCTAAGGTCTCTCATGGGTAGGAAGAAGGGCCCAGCACTCCTCTTGGGTGTGTAGTCACAGGGGTGCTGTGAGTCATGAGGGCAGGAATTTCACACAAGCAGCCTTTGACTCTGTGTTTGAACACGTGCATATACTTCAGTGAGGGAGAAATCTGAACTGATGCAACCAATCTGGTATCAGAAATGGGAAATTTCCTGGTGTGATTAAATTAACCAAGTGTGCTTGCCCATCTTGGCCTTGGTATGCTCTGGGGCCAGTTTCGGGTTTGTCCTGACACAAGCCAGGCGGAGGTGGGGCTCTCAGAGTGTGGCCCCTGGACCAACAGCAACCATCCTGTGGCCTTTAAAGAATAAAGTAAAGGAATGTACATTCTGGTGCCCACCCCAGAAAATTAGTCATGAAGTCCAATAATCTGTTTTCCAAAGTATCCTGGTGATGAAGTGTGGGCTCCCTTTTGGGACCCCTGAGTTAGAGACTTATTTATGGTAGTCAGGAGCACAGGCTGAAGAAGGAGTCTCTTGGGCATGTTTCTGGATCACATCGTAATGGTCAGAGGACAATACTGCTGTTAGAGTCACCACAGCTCAGTCCATCAGATCTCAGCAGTTCACTCATCTAGCCCTGAACTCTGGCTTGCCTGGCTTTCCCACCTGGTGGTGTGTGGTCTTTGGCCTATGTCTCTCCAGGGTTCTCACTGCTTTGTCTGTGTCCACAGAGGAGTTTCAGGTGCTGAGACCCCGAAAACATGTTGTGGCAGTGCTGGGTGGCAATGCTACACTGCCCTGCACCGTGTCCTCAGCCATAGATGTGAGAAACATGGAGCTGAGGTGGTTCCGTACCATGTTCATGGAGTCTGTGTTGATCTATCGGAACCAGCGGGAGCAGACAGAGGAGCAGATGGCTGAGTACGCAGGGCGGACCTCACTGGTGATGGACTTTCTTGCCCATGGGGAGGCTGCCCTGAAAATCCACAAGGTCCGAGTTTCTGACAATGGAGTGTATAACTGCTTCTTCAAGATGGGCAGCTTCTTTGAAGAGGCCAGCTTGGAACTGCAGGTGGCAGGTGGGTTATATGATTTCTATTGCAGGGACCTTGGGGATGTTGGGTTTGAGAGGAATGTCAGGGGTATTTAATTTAAACTGGGATTTTGTAAATGATGAATAGATGCTTCATCCTCTCGTTGATTTTTTTGATACCAGTGCTGTATATAGAGCTCCTCCAGTGTGTCCTTGTTCTGTCAACCTGGAGTCCATCAATGGAACTGAGACTCAAACTCTATTAGTTTTGTATTCCAGAGTAAGAGGCAGAAAAATCATGCCTAGTTAATTGGTAGAAGCTGTTAGAGGGTGATAATGTGTTCAAACAGCAGACTGAGTGGAGAAATGCAGGCTGGGTTGTATGTGCCATAGCATACGGGGGCTCAGGAGGGTTTTGCTCACAACTGAAGCGTGGTTCCCAGTAAGTGAATGTTTGGATATGTGGGTATCCAGGACCCCAAGTTTCATGCAGGGGAAGTACCGTCGTGAAACCCTCGAGCCAGGAGCATGCCTGCCGTGTTCCATGTATGAGGCTGTCATGATTGGTGGGAAGGTGACATGAAGTGACAGCACTGGAAGAAAAGGCAGTTCCCACATCAGGACAAGCTGGTAGGCGCAGTCCCTGGAGGTGACACACCAGTTCAGCAGATAAGGTTCCAAAGTTCCCAGAGTTCTGTGGAACATGAGGTCAAGAGCCAGGCGACCCTGATGTGTTCCGGTTGATGACCACTGTTAATCCCATGATCTTTGGGGCTGAGTGTGGGGCTGAGGGCTATGGGTGGTGGAGTCTGGGGAGAAGCCCTGAGAGGGACCAGGGGGAGGAAGAAAATGCCTGCCCTCTGCCAGTGGCGGGCTGGGAGAGGAGGGTTTGGACACAGAGGTTTTGCAAGTTGCTTTATCACTGGGCATGTTCCAAGGAGGGCCCCAAAGTAGAAACAGGGAACTCTGAGTCACCTCAGCTATGGGCAGGCTTCAGGTTTGCTGATTTCCATCATGGAAAAAGCACTTTCAGGAAGTGTAGTGAGAAGCAAAGAGCTTCCTGAGACATCTTCCCATGTGGGACTGGCAGGAGGGAGCCTGGGTCCCAGCTGAAGACTTTGTTGTCTTTAAGACCCTTAGAGAGTTTTCCTGGAAGAGAAAAAAGCTTGGATGACTTTTGTGTTCTGAAGCTTCTGTTTTTCTTTTCTTTTTTTTATTTTATTTAAGATGAAAAAGAGAAAAACACAAAAGAGAACAAAGCGGTGTAAGGGTACACGTAATACAGAACTACAAAAAAAAAACATAGCAGTAAGAAATCACCTGTTAATAGATTACATATTATCATCTTGAAAATAGTTGCTCAAATCACAGTATCAAAGAATACAAGGTGGACATTCAAACAGGGAGACTGCAAACAGCTGTGTTCAATGATCCAAAAACATTGATATAGTCAGCTATTTAACACCCCTAAACACACTTGCTGTTATATCCGTTAGAGCTCTTTTTTCCCCTCTCTTTTTTAAAACAAAATTTACACATTTTGGATTTTATTACTCCTTAGTGCTTATTACTTTTTTGGGGGGGAGGAGAGAATAAAGTCAAATATGGCAAAACAAAGCTGTCAGTCACAACCAAGGATAGACATAGCACATGGTGTAGAACAGAGTACAAGGTTATCAACAATGGTTATCAACGTTGTCTTTTGTTTCCCTAAAAAGAATTGTCTATCTCATTAGATATTATAAAGTTGGACAAAACAGTAGAGAACAAGACCAATAAAACTTAGGCATTGTAAACATTACAGGACTTCCAAAGAAGACAATAGTCAAACCAGAGTGGGCATCTTAGTGAATCTTATTGCCTTCAAAGTAGTTGCCTATATCCTCAAATTTGATACTATCATACAGAATGGAACAGAGTCTAATCAGTCAAAACAAGATCGTGGGAGTACTACAGGACTTCAAAACAAGTTAATAGGAAATCAAAAAGAGTTACTATTTATATATCCTAAATTTTTAAAATTTTTTCCCTTAATTAGGACAAACATAAGAAAGGACTAAATAATTTTTTTAAAAGAATAAGGGGGAGATTGAGATAAAACAGGACATAACAATATAACAATAAAGGTCAACGCATGACTGTTTCAGCAACCTAGTACTTCACCACCATATAACCCGACTTAATAGTAGTTACCATAGTGTCTGTCTTTTTCCTTGAAATATTTGGATAAAACTTCATACACTCTAGCTTCAAATATTTCCATATCAAGAAGCCCAGAATAAAGCCTTTCTAATTAATGAGTGAAAACTTTATAAGGCTTCAAGGCCACCTAATGGGGAATCATGATTACCACATATTTTTATATATTTGAATCATTACTTACATTAGGGAAACTATTCGGTATTCACACATGCGAGATTGATTTATTTTATTTTATTTTTTTTATTTAAGAGGAAAAAGAGAAAAACACAAAACAAAACAAAGCAGTGTAAGGTTACACATAATACAGAAATACAAAAAAAAAAACATAACAGTAAGAAATAACCTGTTAATAGATTACATAATATCATCTTGGAAATAGTTGCTCAAATCACAGTATCAAAGAATACAAAGTAGACATTCAAACGGAGAGACTGCAAACAGCTGTGTTCAATGATCCAAAAACATTAATATAGTCAGCTATTTAACATCCCTAAACACACTTGCTGTTATATCCGTTAGAGCTCTTTTTTTTTCCTCCCTCTCTTTTTTATAACAAAATTTACACATTTTGGATTTTATTACTCCTGAGTTCTTATTACTTTTTTTGGGGGGGGAGAGAATAAAGTCAAATATGGCAAAACAAAGCTGTAAGTCAAAACCAAGGATAGACATAGCACATGATGTAGAACAGAGTACAAGGTCATCAACAATGGTTATCAACATTGTCTCTTGTTTCCTTAAAAGGAATTGTCCATCTCATTAGATATTATAAAGCCGGACAAAACAGTGGAGAACAAGACCAATAAAACTTAGGCATTGTGAACATTACAGGACTTCCAAAGGAGACAATAGTCAAACCAGAATGGGCATCTTTGTGAATCTTATTGCCTTCAAATTAGTTGCCTATACTTCAATCTTGCTACTATCGCACAGAATGGAACAGAGTCTAATCAGTCAAAACAAGATCTTGGGAGTGTTACAGGACTTCAAAACAAGTTAATAGGAGATCAAAAAGAGTTACTACTATATATCCTAATTTTTTAAGTTTTTCCCTTAATTAAAATAAACATAAGAAATAGCTAAATAATTTTTTTAAAGAATAGTAGTTACCATAGTGTCTGTCTTTTTCCTTAAAATATTTGGATAAAACTTCATATACTATAGCTTCAAATATTTCCATATCAAAAAGCCCAGAGTAAAGCCTTTCTAATTAATAAGTGAAAATTTTATAAGGCTTCAAGGCCACATAATGGGGAATCATGATTATCGCATATTTTTATATATTTGAATCATTACTTACATTAGGGAAACTATTTGGTATTCATACATGCGAGATTGATTTATTTCACTTATGAGTATGGTCTCAAGCTGCGCCCATTTATTGATAAATATCTCAATGCGATCCTTCTTTATAGCTGAATAATACTCCATTGTATAGAAATACCACAACTTTTTTATCCATTCCTCAGTTGATGGACACTTGGGTTGTTTCCAAGATCTGGCGATTACAAATTGTGCTGCTAGAAACATAGGTGCACATATATCCCTGTGGTATGATGCTTTCAGTTCTTCTGGGAATATGCCTAGAAGTGGAATAGCTAGAATAAATGGGATTTCCAATCCCAACTTTTTGAGAAACCTCCAGACAGACCTCCACAAAGGCTGTACCAGTCTACACTCCCACCAACAGTGCAGGAGAGTTCCTTTTTCCCCACAGCCTCTCCAGCATTTGTTGTTGTTGGTTTTCTTGATCCTGGCCATTCTTTCAGGAGTGAGATGGTATCTCAGTGTGGTTTTAATTTGCATTTCTCAAATGACCAATGATGATGAGCATTTTTTCATGTATTTATTTGCCATTTGCATTTCTTCATCTGAGAATTGCGTATTCATCTCAGATGCCCATTTTTGGATTGGATCTTTGAATTTTGGAGGTCTGAGTTTTTTTAATTCTTTATATGTTTTAGACAAGAGTCCCTTGTCTGAGAGAGAGTTCACTAAAATCTTTTCCCAGTTTGTGGGTTTTCTTTTCACTATGCTGGAGATTTCTTTTGACATGCAAAAACTTTTTAATAAGAAGTGGTCCCAGTTATTGATTCTGGGAAGTATTTCCCGTGCAGTTTGAGTCCTATTCATGAATTCTCTACCTACTCCTATGTCTCCAAGGTTTCTACCCAATTTGTCTTCCAATAGATTTAGCGTTTCTGTTTTAATATTCAGATCTTTGACCCATTTAGATTTTAATTTAGTACATGGTGATAGACATGGGTCTAGCTTTAGTTTTCGGCAAATGGAGAGTCAGTTTTTCCAGCACCATTTATTAAAGAGACTGTCGTTCTTCCAGTGAACCTGCTTGGCTCCTTTATCAAAGATAAGGTGGTTGAGTGTGTTTGTAGTTGTGGTTGTATCTTCTAATCTATTCCATTGATCTTCAGCTCTGTTTTGATTCCAATACCATGTTGATTTTACTACTGTTGCTTTGTAGTATAATTTCAAGTCAGGGATTGTGATGCCTCCTGCTTTGTCTTTGCTGCTTAGAATTGCTTTTGCGATTCTAGGTCTCTTCTGGTTCCAGATGAAATTTAGGAGTGATTTCTCTAGATCTATAAGGTATGTTGATGGTATTTCTATTGTGATTTCATTGAATCTGTATAAGAGTTTTGGGAGAATGGCCATCTTCACAATGTTTGTTCTTCCTAACCATGAGCAAGGGATATCTTTCCATTTTCTGAGATCATCTTCAATTTCCTTTTTCAGTGTAATATAGTTTTCACTGTATAAGTTTTTCACTTCTTTCGTAAGAGTAATTCCTAAATATTTCATTTTTTTGCTTGCTAATGTGAATAG